GGTATTTTATTGGCTTTATTCTGAAGGTTTATATGAAAATCCACGTAGGATTATGTTGATCCTCCATCTGTTTGTTTAAACCATAAAAGTATTTGCTGATAGCTACTAACAATGGTTTAACACAACAAGCTGCAAACAAGTTTAGCTCTACCTGGTAAGAAGTCCAGACCCTCTAGAATATAGGTACTTAAAATATAGCTACTTAAAAGTTTCACATTTTTAATTTCCTATACTTCTTAGAGATGGGGGAACAGCCAGCCAGAAACTATTTTTGAGAGTCCGTAATATCTTGACACATATCTCAACACATTTGAATATACAAACAAATGATATATCTGGAAGAATGCCCATTGTAGCCAATGAGATCAGTGTGCCTGGCCTAAATGCCATTCCTGAAGTGGAGAGAGGGATTGCTGAAGGCACAGGAATGGGAAATTTCAAAATTGCACCAGGCATTAAAATGAAAAAAATGAAGAACATGTTTCCCAGCAGGTCAGTGGTTTTGACAGAGACAATGTACAATTTACCATACAATCTTCTAAATTAATAAAACACCAACATAAAAAGCATCAGTAATTTAAATGTAAAAAAAGGAGAAAAGCTAAAAGTTGTGTCTAAAATTTGGAGACTTGAACAAAAATTATTGGATCTGTGCAAGAGCAACCAAGCGTAGAAGGTGACTGTATACTTGGCCAAAAGCTTTGCCTCTCCCTGCCCAATACTTTCCTTGAGAAATCCAAGCAGCGTCTTAAAGATTGTACTTTTATGCATCCATTGGAAATACTGCTACGTGCTCGACTTTTGGTATTTCAAATACAATTTCTTTAAGTAAATCGCTTTCGTTTAAATAGCCATATGTAGCATGGTAGAGTTCAATGCTGTACTAACAAAAAAACTCGACGAGAGACTTCAACAATTCTGCTGGCTTTCTGAAAAGTGCATGCAATCTGCAAAATAAAAGGCCAAGCTTCCAGCTAAAGAAGAGATTTTAAACAATTACCAAAGCAGGATAGTGGTATCATAAAGGCAATTTCTGCGCTAGCTTGTTTTCTGAAACTCTCTTTGCCTCTGAACAGCTAGAACAGATAATAACTATTAGTAAATCAAACTCCTGCAATATCCAGCTGTGTCTCACACATTTACATACAGATAGAATGGGTATATGTTTTTAATATGTATGCGATACGTACTTTTACCACAGCTGAAGTGCATGCTACAAAGGAGGAGGAGAATGGGAATGGAATCAGCATGAGATAATAAAGTGGCCTAGATAAAGTATTAGCCAGCGATTGATCTCAAACAGGGGATGTTGCTTCTCTCTGACCTGATTACTTACTATGCATAGATTCCATTAAATAGAGCTTAGAATGGAAAGCTTCTGAAAAATACCGTAAATACAGTCAGATCTACAGCTTCCTGAGAGAAACCAGCCCGCGGATGCCCACCATAGACACGGCACGAGCAGGAGGTTAAACCTTACCCGTACCGCCACATGACAATTGCTAAATATCCATCTATGTCTGTATTTCCCTGGGAGCCGGCCTTGTGATGCCAAACTCCACGTTTTAAACAAAAGCAGGAAGTTCACGGGTGAAAAAAAAATAAAAAAAATATCAATCTTTAAACAGAACACTCGTTAGGATTTTCCCTTTCTTCTTGTGAAAGGAGAGAAGAGAGACAGAGGAACATGCTCAGAAGTTGTGCAGACTTTGCTGGTGCTGTAACAGGAGTACATTCCATTTAATCGACTGTATGCCTCTCCTCTTCTTAAGAGGGAACAAACCGGAGACAAAAGACCAGACACTGTAAGCACAGGGTTCAGAACAACCACCAGCTAATTATAAAGATCGTTCCTTTCCCAGGATGGACAATTTTCCCATTGCTTGGTGAAATTACTTTTTTTTCACTCCTGTGGAAAGACGTCTGTCAATTTGAAATACTTGGAAACAATTAAATCATTGATTATGTATACACAGAAATTGGTGTTATATCTTGTTTTGTGGCTGGATATATGGAAGAAAGGGCACGGCGACTGAGTGTATATACAGGAATTCGATTTACGCCAGCTGTTATGGAAATTTGGTGTTCGCTTGCACAAGAATATCTATGGTACTAGAAAGCATGACTTTATTCAGGAATTTCAGCCAGCCTTGGCTTTGGCCCTATTTTCTGTCAAAATGTGCATAGTGACTTTTATAAAAAAGGGCTTCCTGACATGATAGACAGGGTAAATCCATGCCTGATGTAACCCCGTGACTTCACCGGAGTTGCCAATCTGGCACTCCAGGTATTGTTCGTCGGCTCTTAAAATGCCTTTAACAATTCACCGATTATCAGGAGAGTAGAAAAAGACTGATGTTCTGCTCCCTTCATTTTGCTTTCGGTCTTTAATTATACTAAATTGGTTACAAAATAGTGACTTCCAGTACGGTGAATGTCCATAGGGGAGAAAGCCTGCACTCCACTCTTTTGTCTGAAGCTAATGATGAGTATGTGTTACACCTTTCATCCTTGCTTGTACGTTTCTTCTAAACAAATGGAAAAAAAACCCAAAACCCCAAAACCCAACCCAACGAACAAGGTGAAATCCTGCTCTTCTTTAAATCAACGGTAAGCTGACCTTGACACGTCCAGGATTTCACCGACGGGATCTGCATCACTCTGCCCACTCTGATAGTTAACATGGAGACATCCACCAGAATTACAACAGAGGTTTCAGAAACAGACGAGGTGGAGTTAGAGAGGATATTGGGGTGAGCAATTCCAGAATTCAAAGGATATTTAGCAGCTTTTGTTTTGGCCCCGTTTTCCAAAAAAAAAAAAGCATGGTAATTTATATATATATATGTATATGTATGTACAGATGTGCTGTGTGTATATAGACATACTATGTGTGTAGGCATATGTATATAATGCATATATGCCTATGAGTTTTATAAATAAAGTTCTCCTTGACAAGAGTGGGAAAGTGCAAGAATGTAAAGGGCTTGACCGGCGAGCGACTACTGAGCCAATGGTGAGGCTGTTGCAGAAAAGCACGGGGTGCTGTGAGCCCACGGGGCTGGAGGAGGGAATTTAGGGCAGGTTGTGAGGGTCAGCCACATTGCAGGCAAGGACTGCGTCACGTCTTTATTTCAGCAACGGACTACCTCGTGCTTTGGTACTTGTTGTTGCAAGTTCGTTTATAATTGAATAGAAAGTAACATGAGGGGGAAAACACATTAAACAAAAGATTTTGTTTAAAAAGTAAAAAAGGCTTTTATTTATTTATTTATTTATTTATTTCCTGCCAAGCTATAATTTTAAAATTATTTTACAAAATACCTCCTTAAAAGGGGACTAGCACACTCCAGGGCATGTAGTTGTAAAGATAAATCTGTGCACTTCCCTGGTACTGCAGGCACTCACCCTTTGGCCTCATTTTTATGACTCTACACCCTGGAGTGGTGTTATTGCTTACAAACATACATATATACTTATGGGGGTATGTGCGATCTGCAGATGTTTTATTTATAAGTGGCAGGCCTATTGCATCACTGAAACACGCATTTACAAACAGATATAGGTTTTATGAAACCCTATTCTGTTGTTTTAATAGCTAAGCTATCCAGCCATAGCATAATAGTGCACAAGGTAAATGTGTCTACATCTCTAGAACCTGTTCCAAGTTTTCTCAGATGTGACTAACTGCAAGAATTTTCCAACCATCAAAAGTTAATAAAAAAGACAAAATAAAGCAGTGTAAGCCTTTCCGACAAGACTCACAACACCACAAAGCGGAGGGGCTCTGATAAACTTTAAGGCCTCAATTTACCAAGGTATTTAAGCAGGTGCCTAGCTTCAAAGTTAGATCCATTGAAGTTAATATCCTTAAAATTAGATTCACAGTAAAACACTTTACTAACCAGGATCTAAATTGAGACTAGTCTGGATTGTGAGATATCTGCCCCAGGGCATCTTCAGAGATTAGCCTTTAACTAGAGAATAGCTGCAACAGAAACACTTGTTTATTCTACTTGCAGTTCGCAGCACGGAAGCAAGAAATGAAACGATGCAAACGTGTCCTTAACTTGTTAAAATCTGCTAAAATTATTCCTCGATATTTAATGCACAGAGAAGAAATGATGATGATTTTACACAAACCTCCAATTACAGGAAACACAGCATATGAATAAAAGTAATGAAACACTTAAAAATCAAAGACACGATGCAAGCCAGAGGGGACTACAACTCTTACCTACAATACAAGTTACTGTAAATATTTGTAATAATTGTTTGATATAGTATTTTTCTACTGCCTAAAATCAGTCCAAACTGCACTCTGCACTAAACACACAGCCACAAGGGACCAGCTGGAGAGCAGGTACCCTATTATTGCCTTCCTGAAAAAATGGCAATTGCAAGCAAAAGCAGTGGTCTCTGAGCTCAGATTCCAACACCGAGAACCCTTCTACAGACAGACCAGAGCCACATATTACCTCAATCTTCTGTAGCCAATCTAATTTCATTTTACATGAATATAAGTGAAAACAGTAGCTCCCGCATTTCATTAAAAATACTCTATTTTGCCCATATCCTCTGTTTTCAATCTTCAGATTTTGAAAGGTTAAGACTGGCAAATGACGACAAAGAGTGACCTACATTAAGCTGTAATCCCTGGACATACAAACAGAAAAAAATGTGTGTTAAGCATCAAAATGGTTGTGACTAAAACTTGAAACTGGTTGAGAAAGTTCTGTATTAACTCCCCAAATCACAAGCGAAGCTTTGGCCGCGATGAAGGTAACAGCAAAATACCCATGAAGTCCAGTGGAATCATAATTGCACCTTTGGTTTGGGTGCTCTCTAAACACGTAACTGCTGCACAAGCCAGAAAGAGTTTAGATTTGGATTTATACATCCGGAAAAATACAGCTAAAAAAAAGTGGATACAGTTCTATATACATGAATAAAAAGTATTCAGACAAATACATACTGAGGGGCTCCGAAGTTTCACTTACCATTAAATCTTCAGGTGCTGGCCTTTCCTTTGGCTGCTTTTTCATGCTATGTGTCATAAAAGAAAATGTTCATATGTAAACAACTCCTCATTTATTCTACTTACTTAAATATTGAAGATATCTTCTTTTAACACAGAGCAAAATTTCAATGTTTTTCTTAACTGTATCATGTGCCGATGGAAGACAGGGCTCCTAACAGTGGCCAAATTAATGGGTTTCTTCCTTCCCTCCCATCCCCTTATGGGCTGTACTGGTCTACACTGTTTGCAAGGGTGAAAATGTAAAATACAAAATGTAAATACAAAATCCTTGAAAACCAGTCAGCTCAGAAGGCAGAGTAAGTTGATTCTCATTTTTCTGGGCATTATTACATAGCTCGACACAAAGTATTATACAAACAGGTGGGAAATTTAACTCTAACAGTAAACAGCTTCAGGAGAACGCGCAATACCCTGGGGTTTCTACCTTAATTTTTTCACATTTATTTCCATTACACTGCAGGGTGATAGTTCATTACACAGCATTAACCTGTTTATAAGATCATGTTTCTCATCCAAATAGTCCTAGTTTTCCGCGCAACAGGTGCAATTAGCTATTGAAGGCTGCGCTTAGCTGCGTGAAGGAACACAATAACATGGCACAGAGGTGACCATCAGGAGCTGCCTACTGACTAATTGGATTACATCCAAACAGCCAGTGTTTATGGCGTAATTGGCATAAAGTCATAAAGTCTGATACGCCGTTCACTTGACATCTCTAATACTTATTAGGAACGGATTACTTAAATAGTATATAGTTTCTTCTTATTTGCTTTATTAAACAGTAATGCCTCCCACTAAAACATACAGCCAATATAACACTACATCTAAAATACCAGGTGATCTGTGCTGTAAATCAGAGGTTTTAACAGTACAATTTACCTTCCCTACAAATAACTACGAGCACCTCAAATAATGCAGGCGTTAGCAAGTAACGCACGCTGTCTGACGAGGAGGTTGGTAGCAGTCCTAATCTGACAGTCCAAAGTAGCTGCGTCCCCGGGGAAAACAAGGCTATTAGCCACCATCAGTTATGCTTCAGTTTGACATCTGTGGAAATTTTAACACAGGTTATCCCCTCCCTCTGCCTCAATGAGAATTTTTTTTTTTTTTCCAAACAGCCCGTCACCAATTTTTTGCAGCGATAAAAAGCATAGGCCCCCACACGCATCAGTTAACCGCGCTGCAGAATCCGCCAAATTGCGTCGCTCTTTGTAAGCCGAAACTATTGAAAACAGAGGCCTATGTTACACAAACTTTAATTATTTAGTTACTTTAATTAACCGATAATCAGCCTGCTTTTTGTGTCTGTTTTGTTACACGCTATGTCAGTCGAGAGGTACTTTCTCCTATGTTATGTATTCAAAATTCAATTTTCTTAGGCAACTTTGGCCCTGGCGTACAGCAGCGACCCCGCAAGCACTGCAGAGCCCGACCGACCCGCAGACCCGCGTGGGGCCGAGGGCTTCCACCGCCTTGGTTTGGCGGAGGACGCAGCCCTGCAGCGGGAACCCCGCTCGGCCACGCGGCCACAGCGTGCGGAGACGGCTCCATCTGATTTTGCACAGCTGAGCACCCAGCCCTGGAAGTCCGCATTCGCAGGAGGGATGCTTCTCCGTGAAACACATCATTTTTGTACAAATTTCGAGCTTGATTTTTCTGCCATACATAAACGACTGCCCCCCCCCCCCTTTTTTTTGGGGGGGGGAGGTGGGTGGGGTGGGGGAGGAATGAGACAGTTTTGAGATTTTCCCTTCATTTTGTTTCTTTAGGACAGCTTACCCTCAAGATTTTTATTCTCTAGTCACTCAAGACCCGTATTCTTTATTCTACAAATTCCTCCTCTCCCCAATTCTCCTTTAATTTAAAAGGCTTTCAATGAACTATTCAGTTTTAAGGAAAGAAAATATACCCAGTGGTGTGTTTTAAAATACGACTCTCAGTAAAAATTACTTACTGAAAAGCCAATGAATTAATCAAGGCTGCTTGCCTTTCTAAACGTTGAGGCAATTTTATAAGTAATATTTTAAAAAGCCCTGAATAATGATACTATACACCCGAGTCTTTGTGGCCTCTTCCCGCCCCAGTTGAATTGCTAAAGAGTCTCAGAGCACAAGACTGCACCCACGTTCAGGGCAGGTTTATTAAAACAGGAAAAACCCCTTGTAAGTACTTTTACGACCCTTTGTGTAAATAACGTTTACATAATTTAAACAGTTTGCTTAGCTTTGCTGCCCCATCTGCCCAAGGCCCCCAAGTCCCTCTTCTCTCCGAAAGGATGCAAGGAAAGCCATAAGGTCTCGCAGAGCTGCCGAGTTAATGGCATGTATCATTTACATTGAGGGCATGGCATGTTTGCAAACCGAGCTTACCATTGAGTGATGAAGTGTACAAATGGCTCAGAGAACTCCCCGGCTGGAAGGACGGGCGATTCCTGGGATTGGATTGAAACAAGAAGCAGAGTCAGGAGGAGAGAAAAGAATTATTATTATTATTATTATTTTTTTCTTAGAGAGAGAGTAATATAACAGCAACAACAAGAAAAAAAGAAAAGAAAAAAAAAAAGGAAGCGACAAAGCCCCCTTTTCACACGGAGAATTTGAGGGAGAAAGGTACAAATTCTTCTGAGAATGTGTTATAAAACACTGAATTTCAACTAATGAGTATTACACAATGGGTAAAAACATGTGGAAAGACACTGAGGGGAGGTGAAAAAAGGACAATGATAGCCACAGGGTAAAAAGGAAGGTAGGGAAAGTGTAAATGAGAAATTAATGATTATTTAAGTAACACACAAATGGTCTTGTAATTAACAAAGAGCTGTGAAATTATTCTTGTGTTGACCTTTGTTTCTTTCACTGCATTTGCTATTTATTTACACTCATGTTTATTTACACTTATTCATTTTAGAGGCTGTCCTCATGCGCTGTCTGTTCCACATTTAAAAGGCGAAAGCATTTTTGAGAGGAAAAACTGCAGGATTTACCAGTCTAGTGGTTGAAAATAACCACCCAGTATTTATGAAAGAAAAGGAAAAAAAAAAATAAGAGCACAAGAAAAACAAAAAAACACCAAACCAACAAACAGGGAACAAACAACATCACCATTTGCAAAGAAGGGCTTTACGAATTTAGGAGTTTTTCCAAGAATGACAGAGAGCTCCACTGTGTTTATAGTGTAACAGCTCAGGATGTAATGAAATTACACTGCAGAGTACTTTAACAGTGTCATCTCATTAGACCTACAGTTGGAACAAGAGAGCCACATAAAACAGGCAGCTGCAAATGACTCCATTCTCATCTATTCTCATTTGCTATTAAAAATACCTTTCGGCGGCTTTTTTCCTCCCTGACATCCCTACACAAAGTACCCTGCAAAGTATGATACATGCACCTATTTAAATTAACAAAGGAATGACTTATTTTAATCTCACTGTGCTTTGGAGTGCTTTGGCCATTTGGATGAGCAATATATCATTACATACAACCTTCCAGCGCTGCAGGCAAGAAACTCAGAGCGTGCAGCATTTGGTGGGAGCCAAACAATTTCTCTAGCACACAACTGTGTCAAATGCATGCATGTATTCATTATTGAGAATGCGAGGAAATAGCTTTGATGTAGTGGAAAAAAGAAGATGATAAAAGCACCTCTGCAATGTGTGTGCCATTATCAATGGTGGCAGATAGACCCAACTGCAGAGCCTCCTATGTGATTAGTAAATATACATATAATTGCTGTGGCCAATTATCAGAAAAATGAGATCGGTAATTACAAGACAGAAAATTAACTAGAACTCTTATTAAGGCTTTGTTTCCAATTCAAACAATTGGAAACTGCTGGAAAATACAATTAAATCAAAAGTAACTGAAGAGTAAAAGGAGAAGCCAAAATTGCTTTACGATTTTCAAAGACTCCTATTAAATACAAGGAGTGTTTGATATAACATGCCCAAATTCTCTTTGAACTTAGACCGGGTGAGGGAGAGGTTATTGTTTCTAAACTTATAAATGACAGCAATATCGGAAGGTTTCCACTGGAGAGTGGAAGGAACATAAGGAAATAAGCACTGCAATTAAACTTTCTCCACTTCAAAGAACTGCACGTGAAAATTGTTTGTATTAATAGAGAAAATGCAGAGCAAAACGTCAGGCTTGCACGTATAGCATGGAGCCCAGCAGGTTTCACCTCTTCCCATCATTTTCTCTTGTCCTGGGCTTCCACCTGACGGGGGAAATGCCGCTTTCCCAGGTGGGACATACGCAAAGCGTAGTGGGTATGATACACCCTGGGCATTACAGATCATTTTGAAAACTACAGGGTGAAGCTACTGGAGCCCATTCCCCAGGGAACCGGCTCTGCCCAGCAATCCGCCCCCGCTATTTATTTGAAGCACAATGTAAGAGAGGAGCTTCTTACAATCGCCCCTCGGACGGGGCTGCTGGGTCGGCTCAGTCCACGCAGAGGAACGGGACAGGAACACAGCACTTCACGCTGATTTAGGAGGTGATCATTTCTGCAGTCACAAAGAGATGACGGACCCATAACAGAGCGAAACTTCATTATAAGAGGGGAAGAGAAGCTGATGAACTGCTCTGAAGCCACCAGCGTTTCACTTTGGCTACCCCAAGCCAAGCTGGTGCCACGGTTCATGCAGCCAAGGGAAGAAGTTGCTCCAACATCAGCACGAACACCTCGACCATGCAGCTCCTGAACTGCACCACAGTGGGTAACAAGGTGCTCCCGCAGAAGCACACAAGAAAAGTTCACCTGGAGGAAAGTAACTGTTAAACGCTATTTTTTTTGGCACATTTTTCTGTACACTGCAGGTATTTCACCCCCACCCAGGCCCACTCTCTTCTGCCGTAGACCCATCAGTCATGGCCATGCCTGGGTTGGTTCACTCTCGGGAGCTCAGGAAGAGATTGTGCATGTGGGTGGAGACGAACACCAACTGGATGTCAGTATGAAAACTGGGTGCTTTAATACAGTCTTCCCAAGGATTTTAGACTGGGCACCCCACAAATTTAGTGGCTCTTTGCCTGACATGTTGCAAGCCTTTTGGGAGAGAGCATCAATCTCAAGAAAACACTTGCTGGGAAATGTGTTTCAGGGCAAACAGACCAGTGCAAGGGAAAACTTCAATCAATCTCACTCCTGTACGTATGAGCCAATTGTTAACTTACAGCATAGGTAAGACAGGGGAGAAGGAGGCCAGTTTTGGTTTTAGCTGAACCAAGAAAGTACAGACCCTCAACTGCTTCCAAAGGTGAACACTGAAGAGCTGCCTCAGATCCCGCATTTTACCTTAGTGAGAAGGTGAAAACATCCCTTCAGTTATACCTACCCAGGGAAAGCGATGACTGAAATATTTCAGATTCTGATATTGTTCTACACAAGCCTATCTGAGTAGTAGAAAGGTGAGAATATTTTGTAGTTAGAGCTGTTTCTACCGAGAGAAGGTGCTGCTATGGCCACTGCTGTAACCTGAGCGGTCACGGTTCTGTTGTATAAAAGCAAAGGTATCCAAAACTGCATAAAATAAATACTTTGGCTGACACTCAAAGGGACGGGAAGATGAGGAAATAAAGCAAAGCCACACACGTCTCTACCAAGTCTACACTGTCTGCGTGATGCAATACGGTCACATTTGATGTAACCACAGGGAATGGTCCAGCTGCACTCCAATGGCCTGCCTTGGTCTACCCACCTGCACACTGAAATTGTACTATAGAGGCAAAAAAAAGTAGAAACCCGAGATTTTAAAGGACTGAGGAATAGGTATACTCATTTTAAACTAGGAAATGGTTTTCATTTTCATTAAATACCATCTCTTTTAACCATTATCACGAAGACCTATGTACTGGGGATGCTGCTAAAGACAGCATCAAAAAAGCAGTCAAGACACAAACGGTTGTAAGGGTCAATGTACCATCGGCCTCTTAGATCCCCAGGCAGCTTATTCCCAAGCTTGGGTATTTCCCTAGGCATCCAAGCAACGTTTCCGTAAGCGGGATCTGCTGCAGGAGAAGACAAGATCAGCCTCTGATTTCTCAAACCCAGCCGAACTGTGCACACGCGGTGGGAACGGGGAAGGGCAAGAGGAAAAAAGTTTGAGTGATGCCTTTGCCTTGTGAATAATGAACAGTTCAAGAAGGTCAACCCATTACAACTGAAACCGTTTAATTATTAATTATGCACAATCTATGAGCAAAAGGACAAGTTCAGAATGTTTAATGTGTGGTAACTCCGACTGGACCCTCTCTTGGCATTTTGTTATTAGCACTTGTCAGCAAGGTGCTCAGGCATAAAGAAAAAAGCACAGCAGCAGAAAATCTGAGCTAGCAGGAGGAGGGAGGGCTTTAAACTTCAAACACTGCTCCTAATATTTAATTTATAGAGTGCCAAGGCTCTGGTATAAACCTTATTGACTTCCACGGAGTTAGGGGAAGTCACATTATCTAAATGACGACCTGAGAATGAGAACACTGAGACGATCCCTTCAAAAGCACTCTCTTTTGAAGGGAGTGATAATATTATGCTCTGTATTTCCTTTTTTTTTTCACAGGTTTGAACAAAGGGAGAGTGAACCACCTAATATAGTGTGTCCAGAAGTCAACCACTCCTTTGGAACCAATGCAACAAGAGCTTGAATTACAGGTCCAACCATTATCCTCACCTACTTCTCAAACCTATTATTCGAAACGTCTCCTGATCTGTTTGCTCTTGCTAAGCAGAGCAGTAGCAGAGATGTAACTAAGGGTCAGAAAATAAATAATGTTCAGCAAACCCACAAATAAAAATGGACAAGGCACATGTGCCCTCCCTTACGTCCAGCTTGGAGGTTCACCTGGGCAAACTCAAGAAGCAAATTCAACAGCTACAGCTCTGAGTTGCTTCTTTTGTTTGGAAACACTCTTATGTCAATGAAATTTGGGAGTTGTTCTTGACTGGCAATATAGACCAAAAGTATCCCACACCTTCAGAGGTCTTACTCCAACAGAAAATTTCTTGAGAGTGAAATATTTTCTCAAAGTAACCAAAAGTCAGAGATTTACCACATCCTTTCTGAAGAAAGAGAAAGCCCACAATCTCCCTGTAACGGGAAAATTGGCAAATACAGCTTTCTACCTAAAACCTTCACGAAGGCGATGGCAAAGCCCCCAGCCACGCGTTAAGATCAAACCTGTGTTCCTCCTACCTCCTGCCGATCAGCCTGATGGGCAGCCACGGTGCAGAATGATGGCAGCCCGTCATCAACACGCCCCCAGAAGAAAGCCAGGCTGCACGGAGGACCAGCTGAGCTCCGCTTTGTGGGCAACAGAGGTTGGTATTCCCAGTGGATCCCCACACTCAGTGCAAATAGATTTTACCCCTCTCTTCTCATCTGCTGACTCCCTCCCTGTGAAGGGTTAAATTTCCCCATTCCCCACAGCT